GCCAAGAGAAAAAGAAATCTGAGTCTAGGGCAGAAATATAGTTTGAGAAAGAAACTCAAACAGGACCTTCCCTAATTCTCATCATGACAAAAGGAGAGGGGGGGGGAGCATACAGTATTAAAATTCACAAGCTTCTGTTACTGTACTATATAACCTTATAATAAAAGTAGTATTAGCATTCATAACCTTGATTCCCTGGTCTGCCTTGAAGGGATGACATGATGACCACCACTATACAGTGGGTAGAAGACCTGAAGAGTTCAACGTTTGCCTTTTAAACTTTTTTTCCTCACAGCAGCTTATAAATATGAATCATTAGAAATGAATTATTCTGTTCGGAAGGACAATAAAAGTCTCATTGCTCAATACTGCCAAAAAACGGCAGTATCTTCAAGAAATAAATGGAAGATAAATATTTGCAGTACTAATGTTGTGCAGGGCAAACATCTGGAACGGAGATTAATCATTCAGCTTCTATGTTTAATTCAGCCAAACAAGAAAATTTGTAGAAATAGACTCTTTGATATTATCGGGAAGGAAGTGATAGTCCAAAAGATAAATATAAGATAGGTCAATGTAAAATCAGTTTCTAGCGCACACACAAAAAAGCAACTGTTTGAGATAATACCGTTTTTTCCCCCTTGCAGTATGTGTATCAATATTCAGACAAACAGAAATGTTACTTGCTAGTTAAATCTTATCAGAACATGTGATAGAAGATGTAGCGAATATGGCAGTGCTATACAATATTGTTTTTCCGTCCCAAACAACTTTATAAACGGAACAGCTGATTTTCTGATGCTGCATAATTTAATCATTGATCAACTTCCTTGTTCGTAGTTCCTCTATGGTGACAAGATGCCTTCCACAATGACTTAATTGCCTTTTCTTCTTTACCCTTTTTAACAGAAGAATGCTGGCCCTGTATGATTGTCTGTTGTGCATAAATTTTAGGCAGGGATATTTAGTTCTTAGTACCAATAAGTGTTTTGTAATACCAAGAGATACCAAGTAATTGAATCTAATTTATATTTGTGGGGTGGATTGATGGATTGCATATCATTAGCTTAGATTTTGTGTGTGCTTGTGTGTTGATAGATAGCACCTCTGTGATAAGCACAAATAATCTTTTATGAGGGCTACAAGCACCGTACTCATTCCACTGCTAAAGTAATTTAATCTGATCATATATTTTATCAGCACTGTAAAACTGAGTTGTAAGTCTTGCAGATACATTTCAATACGTTTGATAATGCGATATAAGCATCAGGCAATAACTGGGTGAAATAGCAGTAGAGCCTCCCACTGAGAAACATAAAATTAATTCAGGCGACAAGACTTGGCTACACTCTTTCTTATTCTATTGAAATTTATCACTCCACTGAGTGAGTAATCACAATTTTTATAGGAAATGTAATTCATGGCATGTTCAAAAGAAAATGTAATGCACAATTACATGCAACTTATAAAAAATTTATTTGGGAAGGGAGAGATCTTGCAAATATCTGAAAGGCTATAGAGATGTACAGTTAAATTTAAAGGAGTACAAATCTTCTCCATTTATTTTAATCGATTCGTATTTATTGAGATCATTCAAGGCCTCTGATTCCCCACCCTCCTCCAGAAAACTGCTTGATCCAAATTCTTTGACGATGTGCGTTTTATTTAAATGTTTAAATTAAATTAGACATTTAATGTTTGTCTTGTTTGTCTTTTCAGAATTATAGATCAGCGGTTTGAACGAGTTTCATATTTTATCTTTGGTGATTTCAATTTCCGACTGGATTCAAAGTCAGTGGTTGAGGTAGGAAATTCTTCTTTGTTTACATCTACATTCCGTTCAAAATTCTTCATTTTTAAAAAAAAAGCATAATTAGTAAGCAATTTAAATTAATACTAAATTTTCCAAAAAAGCAATTTTTTATAAAACTTGAAAATAGCTGTCAAACCATAATATATAGAATCTACAATAAACCCATTATTCCAATACAAGAAGTCAAAGGCTACACCGTTTGGGGATTTATGCTTGAATGGTTGAGGAATGTTCCTCTTCTGATGCCGGAGACAGAAATGAGCAATCTGTGGAGTCCTTGGTACTTCCTGACTTTGATTGTTTGCTGGCAAACATTTTTGTCATCGTATTTATCCAGTAGCTGTTGATTTGAATGAATTTCAGTCCTCAGGAATACAGACTAAGTTCTCCAACATTTCTGATTTCATTCACATTTCCTGTGAAGGAAACACTGAAAACCACTGTAGGTCAGAGGCCTACAAAGATGCTGCTACGTATGTCATAAATCTCTTAGATTCTGTTGAACCTGAAAGTTATAGTTCCTTTTGTTTTCAATATCCCTTTAAAAGCTCTTTACTTTCTAATTAATTAATATAGGAATATTCCTATGCAAAAATGTCTGGGACTTTTTCAAAAAGAGTCTAGTTCATTGAAACATTTTGTAATATGGTAGCATAGTGAAAACAGTCTGGGTAGTTTTGCACAATAAATAACAAGTTGCCTGTAGATTTAAGGAATATAAAGGTAAGCGCTGTAATTTGAGGAAAGGATTAGATTACCTGTAGCCCAGGTTCTCCAACATAGGACCTATCAGCTAGTGATTTTTAGAATGGAAGGCATCAACCTTTTTTAAGATATAGAAATAAGTAACTATATATTAGTAAAACTTTCTGTAACCTTTAACCGGGCAAAATCATCCATTGTAGGGCAACAGTTTTTGGACCTAGATCCTTACAATGGGCTAATTTACAGAAGGTGTCCAAAATCTGGGACCCATGACTCTCATGGAACTGAAAATTTGGCAAATTTTATAAAACATTTTATGACATAAAATGATCACGAAACAATTTACGTGGTGGAATGTAGTACAGTGTGGCAGAAGGGCAGGGTCTTTCCCAAAGAGACGGCTTAGCATGTAATCTTTGGTATTCAGGAAGGAAACCAGAGTGGACTGACACACACACACCCCTAATCTTTCACAGGATATCTAATAGTTATGCAGATTTTGTCTGGCAGGTTCCTTCTATAGTGAACAACAATAAGGAAACTCCTTTGAAGTAACTCCTCATGTTGTTCTGGGTCCCTTGTGCCCAACAGTTTATGACATAATACAAGATGTCATAAAACATGTTGATGTTTGACTGTGCTATACGTTTTAATATATTTTCAGGGCAGATATATCTGTGAATATATTCGACGTTTTCAGTGAAGACAGTATATTAGAAGTTCTGTCATTGTTGAAGGCAATGAGGAATCTTTTGAAGAAATATCTCTGAAAGGATGACCAAACAATTCACGGCATTGTCTAGTATTTTAAAAATGCGAGGGAAAACGAAGTAGGAAGCTTTGGATTCTGGTTGCATTTAAGAGATGTTCTAGGAAACATGTACACCATGTGGTAGCCATGAGATGTTTGCGGTTAGAAGTCCAGCAATCCTTTACCACTGGGGCTGGTTCTCTTGGCTAAGAAACAGAGATTAACATCATCACCACCTAGAGTTGGAACATAGCATGAGAAACCTTTACCATTTTGAGAGAGAGAGAGAATGTGTAAATAACTGTTGTCCACAGCGTATATTGCTTAGCTATGATAGGTCTGGGAATAAAAGGTTGGCTTGGTTTTGTTTTAAACCTCTGCCAAACTTGGTTTTAAATCAGTGACTGCAATTTGTTTGACATATTCAGGTCTCTCCAAAATAGATCCTCCTTTATTATTGTTGGAATGCAAACTTTTTTAAATTGTATGTGCAGCAGGAAACAATCCTGACAAGCTATGATAAAGAGATATAGCAGAGAAACTAAGTAAGTGCTTTACATCTGCGTTTATTACAAAAGATATAAGACAGCTACTTCAGTCTTTATTAATCCACTTAGGTAATCAAAAAAGCAGTAAATTATTTTACAGGGGAAAATAGTGCTTCAGTATCTTGAAACACCACAATGTAATGTCCTACAAAAATCTGTAATTTATCACTCAAATCAGGCTCAGTGCCAGAGAAGTGGAAAGCAGTCAATATGAATCCATGTTTTAAAGGGAGATCTGGGAAATTAAAGGCTAGTTAGCTTAGTGTCTATTCCAAGCAATTTAGTAGAAATTAAAAGCAAAGAAAATAAATCAGGAATCTAGGGGAACAAATCATGCATTCAGCGTAGATTTTCCAAGGGGAAATCCTGCCTCAGTTTTATTAGAGTGGGTTTTTAAAGATGTCAATAGATATGAGGATAGAAGCAATACATTTTTTGTTTATATTTTCATCAGCCTGTTCTTCATCAAAGGTTTTTGAGCTAATGTAGTTGTGGGTGAGGAGGAATGTTTTTAGGGGTTGCTAAGTGATTAAAAAACAGAAAGCAAAAAATAGGAATAAATGGGCAATTTTCTAAATAAAAGGAAATAAGAAATGAATCCCAAAAAGATTTTTGTTAGTGGCAGTGAATCTTTATGTGTTGACAATGATTTTGACTTTAGCAATATGCTGTACTAAAATACTCAAAAAGGGAATAAAATTCAGAAGTGAACGTAAAGAATTGCAGGAAGGGCTTCTTAAACTGAGTGAATGGCCTAGTTATCTAGCATTGCATTTCCTATTCCACTGCCATCTAGCCACTTTTAACAGCTCACTTGATATATACATAGCTCCCTTCTGCACATAGTACAGAAAACATTTAAAATATCCACAAAATGGTTAAATTGACAATCAACAGCCACAAAATCTCAGAAACAAGTATACAATATAACTTAACTAAAATAATACAAAAATTAAAAGAATTAAAGAATTTGAAAAGTAAAAGTTGACACATTGCATAATCTCCCAAATAGTTATGTTTTTTAAGATCTCTGGAAAAGCAGCAGGGGCCCCTATCGGATTCCTGTGTGAAATCCATTTAGCTTCTGTCCTTCTCATCACTGCAAAGAGGCTGGGAATAGTTTTCCCCTATACGATCCGATCATTCAAATCACAAACACAATTCCATTTAAGTAAGAGTAAAGTCATTCTCATTGGAGAGGAAAAAAACCAACCACAATATACTGATGCGATTTAAACTGCCTGAAAGTAACTAAGGAAAGTTCAGGTTAGGTAGCTCAATCAGATTGTCAATTCAGTGTGTAGCAACTGTGATAAAAGCAGGTTCCATGCTAGGAATCGTTAGAAAAGGGATTGAAAATAAAAAAAAATACTAACATTGTAATGGCCTTATTAAAATCCAGAGTATATTATCTTCTGAAGTTTTGTACAGTTCTGGTCAATGTATTTTAAAATAGATATATA